CAGTTTCGGCAAATTGCAAAAACATGGGTCTGTAAATTACATATCATACATGAAGTACATAACTGTCTGATATTTCTACAAACGGCGTGTGTGGCAAAGATTGAAAGAACACAAAGAAATGGTTACATAAAGAAAAATTATTAAGAAAACGAAATAAGATAATCCTGGAGCAGCGGCATACATTCCTTTTGTGTAACATATATGTTCCTAAAAGGATTCAGTTGAAGTACAAAATTTCTTATGAGATCAAATATTATGAAACCCGGTTATAATAGCTCCAACACCGTTAAACATAACATGGAAGCCATATTTACATCAATAATCTGATAGTATTTCTAAAATTCTAATGTGTTTCAGTTGTTTCAGATCAAACAACCATGGCGGATCAAACCTGTTTCAGGCAGTTAATTCGCGACAAAATCTGAACTTAAGCAACACAAGTTATTCACTCAATAAACTTTATTGACGTTTCTGCACGTGAAAAAATATCATGATATGGCCAAAACAAAGTCTGATGACCTAATAAGAGGTACTTTTGTGACAATGACTAGAACAAAAAAAGTTTCACTGAGTTTACTAAGTTTCACTGAGTTTGCTTTGATATTATACACTTTGATCAGTGATTACTCAAACCCTGACTATATATATGTAGGCTCTTCCACAAGTACATTTGTGTTTCTTTTTTGCCGGAATGGGAAAAAAGGTGATCAATCAGCATTGCCCTAGTTCGAAAAGCTTTGAGCAGATGCTGCAAGTTACAGTGGGTTAGCATGGAATAACTTGTGTTGCTCAACTTCAGATTTTGTCGCAAACGAACTGCCACATTCTTCGCACTGATGCAGTTTTGCTCCGCCATGGTTTCTTTTTGCTAAACAATTTAGAAATACTATCAGTTTATTGATGTAAATATAGCTTTCATGTTGTGTTTAACGGTGTTGGAGCTATTATAACCGGGTTTCATAATATTTGTCCTCATAAGAAATTTTGTACCTTAATTGTACCTATTTAGGAACAAATATAATGCGTTCATTTCTCAACACCATTTAATGGTAGTTCGCTGCTTATAGCAAATAATGGGGCAATATATTGCTCCAGGGTTATCTAATTTCGTTTTCTTAATGGCTTTTCTTTATTTACATGTAACCATTTCTTTGTGATCTTTCCATTTTAGACACTCAAGCCGTATGTAGAAATATCAGACAGCTATGTACTCCATGTATGATAATTATGCAATGTACAAACCTATGTCTTTGCAATTTGTCTAAACTTAGGAACCATGTCCCACAGCATGTATGGGGTACCTTTCCCTTGTGTTCCTGCTCGTGACGACATAAAGCTGATCGTCTTCTAGTCGATATGCCATAACGCCGGCAAATAAACACATCAGAATTTCCGATTCCTGTAAAGATATTGAATTACTTATTATGGTATTTTGAAGTATTTATCAATATGATAAGCACAATATTAAAATTTAAAATGTACAATACATGTATCTATTCCACAGGTATACGTAAACATGCTTTTCATTTAATGGAACCATTTTTTTCTGCGTCTGAAATAAAAAAAACAACAACTACAACTGACTTTATTTCCAAAACAATTGTCAAAATGGTATGACATTTTATATATGTAATTGAAACATATATTTTGCTGGTGAAATAAATTCAATATAATGTACATGTTTGTATTTTATTTTTGTATTGTAAATACTTTAATCTGATGTACACGTGTGTTATCAAAGCAGAATACTATTCAGTTGAGAATGTATAGCAAGCAAACTGAATTCAAAACTGAAATCAAAATCAAAATGCGTTTCTTTCACTGAAAACACCACGTTTACCTGTTCGGCCATTGTACTCATTGCCAAAAACAACTAAAAAGTAACCAATAACAGAACAGTACAAGGTTTTTATACAGGGGTTCCGTCGTTAACTGTATGCTTACCTCCATTTTACTGCCTTTACCGAGCGTTTAGGCCGCCATTTTATGAGCCCATTGTACGATTTTGGTCACGTGATCATCCGCAGTGAAAATTGTGCTATTTCTATAGGTGCTTGTTATAATCAAAGGGCTGCAACCTCTGTGGTATTTTCTGATCTTTGCAATCTAAATCGTTCCGTATATCTGTATGTGTTTTCCTGTATAAATTTATTTTTATGTACTATAATTCATCTTGCAGGGCATCAGAGTTTGATACATACGGAATTTTGCATAATTAGAGTTGCATCAAAAAATCATTAATGTTCATTTTTTATGATAGCCACACTTTATCCTTGCATATCGTGGCTATTTCCGTAACAAAGACACTAAAAAAGAATTTAAAAAAAATGTTGACACGACTGAGTCCAGACCTCTCACACACTAAACGAGCGCGTTACCCCTGCACCACTACAAAGGCTGAATAAAATCAAGTCATTCTAAATTTAGAATTTCCATTGCATTTCGGGTTTTTAATCTTTATTAATTTCGAGGTATTTTGTTCAGGGTAAACCTGTTGTTTAAAATTGAAGTGAATGATTTAGCAAAAATCTTCTCGCCCAAACAGTCCAACATGTAGAAACTATATATTCAACTACTCGGCAGTCAGATTTATTTGTGATCGACATCGCTAAAAATAGCATTTTCATTGATAAAAATCATATTCATCCGCGTAATTTGTGAGTGTGCATTTATTGACAATTCTATAAGCCAACGCTACTTTTAAAGTTTGAATGTGTTTTAATTTGTTGGATACTTGTAACAAAAAATATGTTCTTTCTTTTAAATTGCTGGTTTTTAAGCAGTTTTGAGTGAGAACTACTTTGCGTTGTTAGGACTGTTAGGAAATTTTGTGTTAGACCGTGGATGTTAGCTATGTATTTACTGATCTGCGATCAGAAAATACAAAAAGTACATCAATCACTATTTACAGCTGTGAACTAGAGTCCTTAGGTGGCGGCGATTTTCCACCCAAAAATTTCGTTATATATTTTTATCATAGGAATATATTGTTCTAGACCTTGTATTTTGACCCGTGCGGTTTATGCTAGGCCATGACCCTATGAAGCGCTGAACCGCCAAATGTGCTCCGTTCTCGGCCAAATACGAGATTAAGAAACTCTTATAATAACCATTTTACTTTAAAATTCCTCAAATTCAAACAAGTCAGCCATGACATGATATTACATCATCGATGTCACCCTGACCCTGTGTTCACAAAGATTTAATGATCAGGATCAAGATCAGGATCAAATTAAAAAACTTTAACATTCTCCATTATTTATCCCCATAGATTAAATATTCAATATTAACTTGATAAAACTGGACTGACAGTTATTCTGAGGTAGGGATTGACTTAGATTCGGGGCTTTGTTAATCAACTTTATATTAAAATAAATTCTATAACTTGAATATGAGTGAAGCATACATGTGAACCCTCCCACTTTAAGCGGGAGACTCCCACTTTCGGTAGCCATATTTTCTAAGATTTTTCTTAAAATGAGTTTTTTTCCCCACAAAATAAAGAAATTTCCCTATTTTTTTATGTCAGAACTTTCTTCTTTGTTTATTGTAAATGCTAAAATTTCCCTTTTTTGCAGAAAAACCTCCCACTTGATCATCAAAAAAAGTTCACATGTATGGTGAAGCCATGTAGATACTATTTTTTTTTAAAAAAACAAAGCAGTAGGACTTTATTTAGATCAAAACAAAACCAGTCAATTTATGCATCATTTGCAATGTTTTCTTTTTTGTACATATATCACTTTTAGTGAGATGACGCTAGCAAATAACTTGAGATTGGACATTACAAAGCCTACTTATATGTGTCATAATACATTACCTGTCCCATATGAGCCGACACAATGTTGGACAAACTAAGGCCAGTAAGGTAAAATACCAGTTCCCTCAATATAACTCCATATGAGCCATACAATATGGACACACTCAGGCCGTGTAACAATACTTACAGTCTTATGAGCTAATATGTGAAGAATAATATAGAAGGGAATAAGTCCAATCAATAATAAAGCAACCCATTAATTAAAAGGCACACATTTTAATCTGTTCTGTTCTATATCATTTGCCGAGTCTCGCGTTCTTCGTTTAATTGTAACTTTTGTAATAAATTTTATATTCGGAAATTCGGAAATAAAGGCAAATCGCCAATAAAATTGCTCTCAGAGTGGGTCGTTGATAAAAAGGATATCAAGTATACAGATTTTAGATACTATTTATTAAAAATCAAAATTGGACTGGAAAAAAGGCTACCATATCATTTAGACATCTTATTAAAATTGACCGTGGCAACCAATGTCTGTGGCACCTTTGTGACGGCCTTGGCAATAAAACTTTTCAGACTGAAAATGGCTTTTTTTGTTAATTTATTCTGTAAAATAAATGTGTTTATGGCTTTCCATATCTTTATCAAAACAAAATTCAAACTTGGACCGAACCAGGCAGGATATACCTTTCGAATTCTTTTCTTATTTTTTAAATTTCTAAATTGTCTGTGGTTTACCAGCAGCTGGATCACTATGTGAGTGATGGTTACATATGAGGCGTTTATCTCGATATATCTGAGAATCTGGAAGAACTACATGACGAGATGAAGAAGTCCACTCTGAGGGGATGAGAAGTCCATGACCAAGCCCTTAAAATGTCGCACTCTCAAAGTAGGCATTACAGGGGGAGGTCAAAGAAGACATCTTCGAAGACCAAGACAAGGCATAGTTCTAGATCCACCAGATGAGGGAAGCAGTCCATGGTCCATCTAAAACATCAGATTTTATTTGGGCTCATTCAGTGTATTACTTTACACCACTTTAGATTATAACATACTTTAAGGGCATGACTGGAGACATGTTCGGGGTCCGTACCTGGAAGGGCGGATGGACCCTCATTAAGCACAAACTACATGTACATACATACATGACATTGCAACATACAGTTTCTGTTATCAGAACAGAAAAGAACAGACTTTATTATTCAATATCTAATGTAACTTCAGTGAGGAAAGTAAAAAATATAAAATTAATTTATTCATCATATTTTTTCTTACACATTATTATCAACAAATCTAAATGAAAATATATAAACAAATATTTAGAGAAAGCTTATAAATAGCTGATAAAAAGATATCAAAAATTATTTGTTTTTATTCATATTTGCAGCTCAAAAACATTTAGATGCCATTGCCAGATCTACTATTAATTAATAAACTGTAGAAATATTATAAGTGTTGTTAATTGTGTTTATATTACAGTTAAAGGATGTATAGCCATTCATGTTAATGCATACACATAGGGTTGTTTCCCTTCTCCGTAATTTTCGCAAGGAAGTCACTTCTCCCTAAAATTTCCCCCCAGGATGAGCCCTGTTTAGGCCGACTTTTACTTGATACAATGGAGAAAAAAACTTGTCAAAAACTCCAAGCATTAAATTACTATATGTTTACATGTTTAGTTTCTTATCGCAGGTTAGACAAAAATACTGTAGCCGTTCCGTGTATTCATACTATTGTATTCAAGGTCCGCAGACTTACGGAAAAGACCGAAAAGTTGCGATTGCTGATGTTCATGGAAGAATTACTGCAGGATATTTCAAAAGATGGAAACATTAACATGCTTAATTTTGTGCCAGAAAAGCATCAATATATGTATGTGAGAAAATAAAACACCTTAACAACTTCATCACATACACCAAGAGCTTGCAAGGTTGTCCACTCTTTAACTTGACTCCTCTTACAAATTAATTGTTAAAAACCTTCCTCTTACAAATTAATTGTTAAAAACCGTTCATTTTTTTTCAATTTACCTACGGCAATTCATACCAAACAGAATACTCTCTCCAATAAGATATTGTACATCCGCTGAATTGTTCTAGTTCTCTAGCTAGTCTAGCTTTGTATCACAGAATTGCTTCCGATAAGAAAATATTATGTATGTTCACTTAAATCGTTTTCCATCATTTAATTTATCACCCAGGCCAGCCCCTTTACATGATCTTGAAATTTGAAGAGGTCCAGTTCAGATGATCTGACATCTTAACCTGCAACTTTGTGTCAGAATTTTCAATAAGTAAATCAAATTCTTGTATTAATTTTTATGTTTTTTTTTTAATAATTCATAACAGATGTATGTCTAAGAAATTTTAAGTTGTGTCAACTGTGTGTAAACAATCTGTTACAGTAGCTAAATGTGTAACAATACAATATTTCATATCTAAATTTCTTGGAGACATTTAATGACTTTCAAATCCATTATAAAATGTAGAAGAACAGTTTTCTTCTTTCCCAGCATTCAAGTTGCAATCTCTTAATTCATCCTCGGAGAAATTCTTCATAAGTCAGTTCCAGACTGCCTTTTGCCTTCCCTTTCTGTCAATAAAGTTTCAAATGTCCAGTCACTTTGTCAATTAAATTGGCTGGACCTGGAAACAAATAAACACTTTTTTCTAATTGTAAGTTGAGAAAACATTTCCTGAAATACATTGTACCAGACATTGCCTTTCATGATAATTAACAGTACAAAAAATTCCTATAAGCAGGTGCTTGGTCACCGTGACCTTCATCTTTGATCTACTGACTTAATAAAATATATATACCAATTAGCAATTGTAAATATCGAAAGTATCGAGTTTGTTATTTATTTTATATTATTATTTTATCTATTTCAACACTGTACAAGGAACATTTATCATGTTTTAATACCAATTTGACATATTCATATTTACATAGACCATCAGTCATCTTCTAGAGAAATTTACAAGCTCTATGAACTAAGCTGTTCTTATTTTTTCTTAATCTGAAGGTCAATGAAACTTTGATCTTAATAGTCTCCTCAAACATCCCATAATTTATTATAATGTATTTATTAAACTGAAACTCTAAAGTAACCATGAACTTAATCTAGACTGATCCGATTGACCTTTCAAATAATATGGTATTCTGCTAACCACATATATAAATTACCAAAGAAAGTTTATAAACTGAAAACATGTGCCATTTGTAGTCAAGATTTCCCTAACATTGACCAATTTTCAAGTTAACAGGTATTTTTTTTTTACTTTTGAGGTTTAAGTAACTTTAAGTAACCTCAACTTGTAATTGAGTTTTTTATTAAACACCAAATCATCTTATCATTGGAGTACAGCAACCTTATCAAACAACATGAAAGTTAATCTAAAGAAATCATACAAATAGATGATTCAACATGAATAATAATTAATATGACATATACAAATGCACAAGGTTTATATATATTTCAAACATGTAATTGATCATCATGATGGTTACATTTAAAAGCAATAACTTGGAGTGTTCTAGATAACAAGAGCTATCACAGGAGACAGCGAAGCTCGACTAATAAAATACTGGACGCAGTACGAAAGACAAAACTATGAAAGAAAAATCAATTATGTATAAATATGTATTAAGTTTTAGTAAAAAAATAACATTGTTAAATAAATTCCAAGATTAAGGGGAATAATTCTGGAAATAGTCATGCTAGAGAGTTATGAACCTTGTCACACAACACGTGTGTAATGATAAGAAATATATATTTGAAGTTTGAAGTAGATATTTAATGAAATGAAATTTCTACTATCATTTAATCAAAAGATACATCCGCTGAATGAAATTATTTCCACTGAAAAAAAAGCCCTTAAATCTTGAATCAGTATTGGTAACACCTCTAACATTGGATGTTTGTATACCTTTTTTAGCAGCAGCGAAAACAACTTGAAAAATCTGCCTATCATAAATAACTGTAATGTAGCAAACAATTTATTTATTTATTTATTTATTTCTATTACAAAAAAGAAAACATAATGCCATTGCCATAAAACACTTATAGTATATGAAACTCGTTAGTATAAAAACACTTATAGTATATGAAACTCGTTAGTTACAAGGATATAACACTGGCTGGGGCAACATCAAGGGATGTTTCTGCTAAAAGAAAAGGCAAGGCCGAGACAATTGTTTGTAGAAACATCCCGTTTGCAGTGTTATATCCTCGTAACTAACTCCTTTCATGTACTATAACTTTTACTTAACAGGAACATGTCATTGACAGAAACTTGCCAAAGATTGTATTGTTAATTATACAAATAATGAGCTTTCGTTGATCAACAGAAACTTGTTAGGTGATGCAGCTATTAAAAATTTGAAAACCTAGCTAAACACCTTTTTCCAGTACTTTTTGTACATTCCAGACGTTAGCTTTGAATAGCGAAAAGAATGCTTTTAGCCTTTTTGGATTAAAATGAAACATATTTTTTTCAAGTAGATACCTTAAAAAGTAAAGAAGTTACAATATTTCTTAAAGAAAATCCTAAGTTCAAAGAGAGGTAAACCTGTAAATATTGTTTCAAAAGTTATGAACCTTGTCACATAAAATGTAATTGATGATAAAGAATAAGTATTTGAAGTTTGAGGTAGATACCTTTAAAAATAACAAAGTAAAAAATAACATTTTTAAGTAAAAAAAAAGTTTATGGGGATATCATTCTTACAATATTGGTGCTAGTGTTATGAACCTTGTCATATAACATGTGGTTAATGATAAGGTACATATATTTGAAGAATTAAGTTGATCCTTAACAAATAAATAAGTAACAGTAAAAATTATATTTTTTAAGGAAAATTCTAAGTTCAAGGGGAGATAAATCTGAAAAATATTGGTGCTAGAGTTATGAACCTTGTCACATAAGATGTGGATGATGATATGGTACATTTATTTGAAGTATGAAGTTGATCCCTTTGGAAATTAAGAGGTAACAGTAAAAAATAGAATTTTTTAAGGAAAATTCTAAGTTCAAGGGGAGATAAATCTGAAAATATTGGTTCTAGAGTTCTAAACCTTGTCATATAAGATGTGGTTGATGATAGAAACATATATTTGAAGTTGATACCTTAAGAAATTACAAAGTTACAGTGAAAAATATTTTACTGCACCAAAACTTTAATCTGAAATCTGGACGCGGACGCCGGGGCGAGTAGGACAGCTCTCCCTATACTTTGTATAGTCAAGCTAAAAAGTGAGATGGACTGGAACAGAAACCATAATTCATAAGTCAGATAATTGGTATAATTATAACAAATCAATGAAAGAGTTTAAAACCAGATTCAAAGCAATACCTTCATACCTTCAGTGAAGAATTGAAATGATACAAAAAATTTTAACCAAAATGTAACAACAATACTGTCATTTATCGGCTTTTAAAAAATTTACTACAAGACTTCAGGTGCTCATAAATGAAATATTTCAGACAAATGCAAGCACCTGAGTAGAACCATGATATTCTGTAAGAATATGTTATAGACAAAGCCCTTTGTCAGTGTTACATTTACAACTTAATGTACATCTGACCTCAATGTATTTTATCTACTCGATGTTTTGAATGTACTGATATTTTCAAATGTACAAAACATAGATGAAAGTGACATCAAAGTCACACTGCACTAAAAACGCTATATATTGCAATAGTGCCAAAAGTCTATATGACATGTTAGCGTCTAACAATTTTACAAGTAATATGTAACACCCATACCTGGCCCTACAGCTAAAACTGTTTTAGATCCACTAGCTATCTGAGTTCTTCCAGCATCTTTGATAATACTGCATATCAAACCATTAGCAGACGCTTCTTTAGCCAGCTGTAACCTATACAATTACACATAATATCAAACATTTTTTGTAGTGACTAAAAACTTTATGAAAATGAGCAGATTCCTATGAAATATTGTCAACAATATGAATTCTGCATCATCCAATTTTTTCTTTCAAATATAATTTTTGCATTTTTAAAATGAGAGAAAATGTCAAGATGTTTCAGATTTGGTGCAAACCTTTTTGTATGTGCAGAGGAATATAAAGATATAAAACAATAAACAATACGGAAAACAGGCATAAGCATTATCAGATGATGTTTTTTACATATTGTCCAGCATTATTAAGGAGTTGACTTACAATAGTGCAGACAACTCATTAGTAAAACAAGTTTTTTTTCTTTGTATTTCAGGCTAAATCCTAATGAATTACTTTGTGGATTATGATATTAATTTACCAATTTTTAAATTGTTTCATTCATATCTAGGACATAATACATGTATAACTGGGCAAGAAACTGGTGATTAGCTTTATCTTTTCCTCAAATCGAGTGCATGCACCAACAATTTGTCTATTTGATCATTGTGACAGGGTATCTTTTTTCTCTTAAAAAGCGTTTAGTTAAAATATTAGCTAAATATAAGCTAACTTGCGTAAGAATTAAGATTCTATCAGCCCTATAATATTTAAATTGTGTTAACACTATGTTATAAAATTTTATGGATGTAACTTTATATAATAACAGCATTTAAACATTATGCTTATGGATAGATCAGATGTCAAACAGACACCAACATAAGGCATCTTATCTATTCATTAGTTGTCCCAGTTCATATCTATTTTAATTATGAAATTGAATAAAAAATCTTACAGTGATTGTTCAGAATCTGTTTTCACAACAACCTTCGGCTGTCCACAAGCTTTCCATGCATATAAGGTTTCTGAGTCCTTCATCATGGCCTTTTCAGCAGCTCCTAATGCACCATGTGCACACTGTAAAATAAAACAAATTGTACAAAAATATTCCCTTACATTATCTGTTAATGCAGTGTTTTCAAGGATGTACACATGACTGATAGGAAACAGTTTTAAATCTATAAGTTTATATTTCAAACACAAGCAGTGTTAGCACATGTTTGTCCATGCTCTACAGATATTTTAACAGGAACATGCCATTGACAGAAAACTTGCCAAAGATTGTTAATTATACATATAATGAGCTTTTGTTGATCAATAGAAACTTGTTAGGTGATGCAGCTATTAAAATTTTTAAAACCTAGCTAAACACCTTTTTTCCAGTACTTTGTGTACATTCCAGACTTAAGCTTTGAAAAGCGATAAGAATGTTTTTGACCTTTTTGGATTAAAATGAAACATATTTTTTGGAAAAAAATAATGATTACATATCAAATAATAATTCAGAAAATATCTATTATTATGGCATGTGCCACTAAAACTGTTTTAAATTTAAATATTCTTATTTCATTTTTGTAAAATTTGAGATAGGAAGTAAAGAAACATTAATAATTTTCTAACAGATCAATTTTTTCCACCTTACATGGTAAAATAATAATAGAAATAGAAATATCATGTATAATGCTGTATACTTCTTTACGTGCAATTCCTCAAAGATAAATCTTTATTACAGACATTAATATACATGTATTTATATTTGATTGACAGAAACTATATTTACTTGAGCTGCTGCTTTTCCTTTTCCCATTTTAAGATCATTCCTTACTACTATTACCATTTTGTATTCTCCATCGTCAGATAACTGTGGCGAACTGTCAGTCAAGTCTAACTGAAATCAAATACAAATACAAAGGTAATTCTGGGTAACAATGGAAATTCAAACTTATTCCAACTGCATAGTATCACGTTTTTCTCTGAATACAGAAGTTTATCATTAAAATTCGCCGTCATATAGGAAACGTTGAGTATGTTGATAAATACTATGAATGTGCTATGACCAATTGTCATGTTTTTATATCATTTTCTGCACACATACTTGTCCTGTAAAAATGCTACACTTAACTGATATTCTAATGTTTTGTATATCATATCTACTTAAATGTCAAAGGTTTATAAAATGTGCCACATGTCGCTAGTCAAAGTCAGTACCCTCGGAATACAGCTACCGGTCGCCGCTTACCACTATGTCACAGATCAGAAAATTTCTTTTTAAAA